ATTTCGAAACAGTACGTTCCCGCATTCAACGAATCCTGTTGAATTTACCGTTTATTTTTGTATATTTTATTATCACTCTGTATTTTTTCATAGTCAGTGTAGTTTTTAATAATTACGAAGCAACAGGTATTTAGGTAATCTTAAATAGGCAGTCCTGCATATCCGACTTCCAAATCCTTCCACTGATCAAAGTTTTGAAACATTACGGTCCTAAACTTTGACTAATGTGTTTTTCTAACTGTCTTTGAAAAGTCCATTCAAGTCAAACCCGGCAAATCGAAAATCATTAACCGAACATTAAACGGCAGTTAAAGCGTTAAACATGCTTGCTAAACGCATTATAACATGTGGAAACGGATAATTTCGGTCATTTTCCAAATTTAGCAAATTTGTCACTCGCATTTGGCGGAACCAATGTCTTTGAATTGATGACATTTTGTGCAGTACCATTTATTATAAATAGTTTCAACAAATCAGAAGCTTGCGACTCCTTAATTTAACCACAATCAGATGTTTAATATAAGCATCAATCCTTTGTATTTGATAGTCTTGATGTCTGTCGTAAAATGGTAAAAAATAGAAACTCTTCAAACCCATTGCCCCCATTGGAGGAAAATAATGAACCCACTGAATATCTCAATTCCTTTTTTTCTGGGCCATAAATAACAAGCAACAAGTATTTAATTCATCAGTTCATCGCTTTGATTCAGCAAGTATGTTGTCAAATCAGATAGAATTCAATGAGAACAAGAAGAATTCAATGAGCATAAAGTTGCAGATCGTTCATTTTTTGGCATTTGTAAGTGAAAGAAGATATTGCCAAATAAAACAAACAATCAGTCGCATATTTTCAAAGACTAAAAAAACACGAAATAAAGACAAGTCTGCCGATAGACGACATATTGAGCAGATGCGAAAAGATTAAGTTTCGTCGATAGAAAATCCGCGATAAAAAATCTGAAACCCTCTTCAACCTCTTGTCGTTGGAATAAAAAATTGCACCACGTGCTGGGCGAACTTTTTAAGGCAGCTATACACACACGCCATTCTGTTATGATTATTAGTTTTTTTATGAAATCGAGAACCAAGCAAGATGCGGAAGACACGCGGAACCTCTTAAAAATGGTAAATAATGATATAGATTGGGGAGGGTCTATTGGCACGTGGCAATTTCGGATCGAACATATGCCTCGAACGAGCCCACATGACGGCAAGGGTGTATCGAATGTATTTTAATGAAGAACCAGGAAGTGGATGCAGGAAGCCGGTCGATTTGAGGTTTAAATTATCAGCGACTAACGGGACAGGTAAAAAATGAATTAATAGAGCCATTTTTTTCGTAGGTAGAATCCACAGCTGTCCTTGAAATGGCACAAGATGTCGAATAATGATTTTTAGACTTGCAGCCAAACGTTAACGTTGAATTTATTCTCTTATCTCTTTATCTTTTTGGTCAACGCTGTACTTGGGCTTTTTTCACCCTTTTGTAGAATAATGGAAATCGTCTATCATTTCCTGGCAAATTACTGTCATAGTCGATCTACGAAACACCTTCATAGCGTTTTGCGCAAGAGATCCAAGTCCTATAAACTAGTCTAGTCTAGTGAAAAATCAATGCTTTATTATGACAATATAAAAGAACCAAAGAATAAATGGTTTTAGAGGAAAATATATGTTGAAACGATTCCAGAAAGTGACCCAATATTAATATGTGTATTGGGATCAATAAGACTTTAAAAGTGTAAAATAGAGCAGTCGGCCATGTCCGCAAGGAGAGGTCTGCGGTCCCAGTGAAACTTCTTTGTGCAGGAAAATCTGACCAGCAGATGTGGTCCAGCAGGTCGTCTGTCTTCAGTTATCGCCTCAGAGTGGTGTTCCTGACAGAGTAGGGAGCCTTTGCTGCTATACTCAGGACCTTGTTTCACTGAAATGGCAACTTTTTCCTGCATAATGCTTGCCGTGGACCAGGGAGGCGATCCATAGATCAGCACCGAACGTACAGTTGTTTGTAAGCTCTCACCTTGATTTGCAGGAGGAGCTGACTTTTCAGCATTGGATAGCAGGCATGGAGCAGGTACCTTCTTTTGGCCGGTGGTGGGGCTAGTGGTGTTGGGCTAGTCGGGCCATTTTAAGATTCGGAAACCGTAGTCAGGTTTCACCTGAACCAGAAGAGGCACATTGCAAATTGTTAGAGATCGTGACGACACAAACACCAAGAAGCAGTTTCGATCATTTATGCTAAATCTTAATTTAAATAGCAGACGTATACCATTATACAAATGTGCCTCAAATCTGGCATCATGCCTATTGGACACCGCAACCTTCTAAGAAGTAAAAATTTGGTAGCTTATCTCAAGATCTGTGGGGTTGAAATATAATTTACCTACGTAAAATTGCCCGTTTTGAGCTTAAACCGATACCACCGAGTGAGTTTCGGTCAAGATCACTGAAGGTTTTATAAGTATAGGGATTTCGGTACCTTAACATTCAATGACCTAAAATGCATTCCCTTCTTTTTCTCTGACTTCCATAATCTGGCTGATAATTAGTTCCGTGAAAAGCCGCTAAATTAATAATGGCATTCAGTGTTAATTGGCAATATCGGCTTTATTGTAATATTAATTCATGTTACATTGCACATTCCAAATGAAAAATTTTAACTTATGGATAGACGATGAAATGCACGCATTGTTGCCGACCCGACCCCAAGAGACAAAGCCTAAAAGGTACTGTCCGCCTCACTTTTTGAGCACAATGCAATTTCATACACTTTCTTTGCAGCGAGATGTAGTTCCATTGTTATTAACTTTAGCAAATTGCAAACAACGAAACAATGCGTTTCTATGAATTGAACAAAAATTCGATATAGGAAATTTGTCAAAAAATAGGTACTAGGAACTCTGGCGGAAGGTTGAGTAAAAGAATAGACTTCAATACATTGATGTCCAATGTCCTTCAGCGTGCGGTGCAATTTGCAATTAGGAAAGCAATGTTTACACTTTACCTACAGTACAAGCAGACCCCAGGGGAGGTCATGCTGAGGTTGTATCATAGTGTAACCCTTTTGACTGTAGCTGAATATGCAAATATTTATATTTTCTAGTATTAATTTACAATTTCCTTAATACCAATTTATCTGTCTTTAATTAAAGATATTAATATGTATATATTTATCATTTGCTAAAGTTTAATTGGTTTTGCTCAATACCCATTTAAGAGTAAATACTATTGAAGTGAATATATCTTACAGTATACAGGGTGTTCCATAAAAATAGGCCGTTATCCGTAACTTGTAGAATGAAATTACAATAACCCCGAATACTTTAGGAGGTATGAATGTCGTTCCTCCACTGTCAGTTCCAGTTGAAAGATTTTTTCAAACGCATCTTTAATTTCAGTATCGAATCAGGATGTTGGTCACTCTGTTTAAGCTCTTGGTCATCCACATTTTGAAAAGCTTGCATTCATTTGTATCATATTATTTGTATGTAGTTCTATGTGCAAAATTACTTTTAATTTTTGATCCAGTTCTTAGTAACTTTAAATTATGTACATTCCATAAAACAGTAAAACCTCAAGTAAAGTCCATAAATTTCGATAAACAGTTTACATTGTACACTGCAATGATTACTTTTCCAACGTTCCTTTGCCAGAGTCCTTACATACAGTTGCTGTATATACGGTAATATAATTTAATCCTTGCGACGAATCATGTGCGATATTGGTACTTGAGTTTGTTTTCTACAGCAAAATTCTGTAAGCCCAATCAAAATATTTAAATTTCTACATTTTACTGTAGATATTTCATTGTTGTTGCACTTCAGTTAGACTATGGATGAAGATCATCAGGATCTTAAACGACAATGAAAAAGTACGGGGTTTTTTGTTTTGTTCTATGCGTAAATACCGCAAGCTGATGTTAAAGTCTAGAAAACGCTAAAAAACAACCCTTCCTCAAATTAATTATGTTCAAATTATGGAGCTTCTTAAAAGTTCAAGATCATAAGAAATCTGCAAACAACCCTTCAATGGCATGTCTTGTCTGGTTTTAGTGCTGTTTTCATCAAACGCAACACGGTTTAAGTTATTTTTATTGCGGAATCGACAATTCCTATGAGTTTTATTGACCATCTTTTTACATTTTTCAACAATTTCACTTTGATTCCCTCAGAAGAGGTAATAAGCTATACCAAGGTAAACTTTATGCATGTTCGACATTGATATACATTTTACGTTTTGAAGAGCATATTGGGAAGCTGAAGCACTACACATGTATCCTAAAGGTCGATCTTCACTATACTTCAGCTGAGGGTCCGCGCATTCTCCAGTCAAAATTCGATAAGTTATTTTAACATGTTTTAAACGGGAGTATTCGCATTTGGTGTTTCGCTCAAGTTGAGCGGAGAATGTGTCCGCACACAGAGGAACAGGTTTCGGAGATAATTGCAGGGGTACTCACAACATTACACAACAACTGACACTTTTCCAGGCAGCGGTTAATTGTTGGGTACATTTCTACCATGTATGTAAGATCCACAGAACACTAGAACACATTAAATCTCTGATCTTCCGAGCACCGGTACAAATTGAGCAGGAGTTAATTAACAAAATACTGCTGCCAAGAGTGCACGATAAAGTGATTGGAACACAAACATGTTTGGAGTTAAACGGGCGGAACTTCAGGAAAAAGCAACATCTATTTACGTAATGTTAATTGGGCAGTCTATCTTGAAAAGCATTGTTGCCATCCTTCGGATATAGCTTTTTGCAAATATCTCAGTTTTTAAGAACAACTAATTTTTCTTACTATTTTTCCTGTACTCCCAAAACACCCCCCGACAACACCTCCAGGGGAATGACGACAATTTTGAATCACTCTGTACATATAGTGAGAATCGACCTTTAGTGTACGTGCACATCGAGCTAGGCGATGCGACTCAACGCGATTAACGCGGAAAACATGTGCACGTCAGAGACAAGAATGTTTCTTGTTGCTTGTCTCTGTGCACATTGCCTGCGACGCTAAGCGAGGCGACGCGAGTCTGGGCGTTGGAATGCGATGAAAGGCAAAATAGTTGGTGTTTTGTCGGCAGTCATAGCGTAAGTTCCACGTTTAAACATGGATGTTGAGCAATTAATCCAGCAAATACAAACACGAACTCCAATATGGGACCAGAAAAATTCATTATACCATAACCGCGAGTTGGTCGCCAAATTATGGGAAGAGGTTGCAACAACGTGTGAATTAACAGGTAATTAGGTTAAGTATAATAACTCGATTTACATTTATGTCAAACAAATGTTTATATCATATTATACTGAAAGGGAACAGTCCCCACAGAAATATGCATATCTTCTTGGCGTGTCATGCCTGGGTTCAGACGTTGGCTATCATCATGTTGACCATTGTGTGGAATCCATCTCTGTCTGCTGCCATTCTGAAGAGGTCCTCCACGTGTAGATCTGTCCAGGGTTTAATGTTGTGCAGCCAGGACAGTTTCTTTCGACTAATCCATCTCTTTCCCTCTTATCCAAACATTTTGGTAATTATAAAATCGATGTTGTGAAGTGAAGGTGGAGTCGAGCAGTAACACGAATTATGAAGCTTAATAAAAAAAAGTAATGAACACATTCCTGACGTACTCTTCGTCTATTGGAAATTTTACTTGAAGAGGTAGATCTACCCTTCATTGTAATCCTCCGATCGCCTAAGATCGTAATTCAGTCCTATAGATTGGAATCTATTGCACACTTTGAGAAGGCTTTTGCCTCGAGCAATCCGACATCATCTGCTGTTCGAATATATGGATATTTTCTGACAGCGGATCATGTCGGATTGCTCGGGGCAAAAGCCATCTCAAAGTGTGCAATGCATACATAAACGTTCTTTCGGAATTCATAGCACTTTTGGAAGATAACCCACATCCAGAAAGGCCGAGAAATTTCGAGTCCAATCCATTCCGAAATCTAAGTTTCTCTGTCATAATGCGTACAGCGAAAAAAAGTCTTGAAACTTATATTTTTCATAATAACTTGTCCTTTTCATAATAAGCATATTTCTATAATCGTCAACATTACATATATTTTAAATTAATGAAAACTCCATTTGTTTCAGTTGATAATGCTAAGGCAAAGTGGAAAAATTTGCGTGACGGTTTCCGAAGCGAATTAAAAAAAATGGCTAAAGGACATTCTTGTGACGCTGAAGGCAGACAAATCGAATCTTCTTGGGTCTGGTACAAGTCATTAATATTTCTCAAAAATCAAGTCAGCAGTAGAAAAATGCGCCGAAATTTGTCAAGAAGTGTTGAACAAACGCCAGTCAATGAAGATTCTGGTACCCAATCAGAAATTGCAGATGACGGTGAAGATGTGCAGCCAAAACAATATTGCCTAGCCACGTTGGAATCACCGAATGAAACTCAAAACTTGGTTGCAAAAAGAGTTCGGACCAATCCAGAAGATGCAATTTTGGATCTCGAAATAAAAAAATTAAAAATGATAGAGTCTCACATGGACAAGAGAGCGAACGTGGTGGCCGAGGACGACAACTACCATTTTTTAATTAGCCTGAAGAAGCCACTAAGCTGCCTTCCAATGGACAGACAAATGTTCGTGCGCTATAAGATTCAAGAACTGATATATAGCGAAATATCCAATATCTCAAAAACTCCTACATTTACCACCGATGTTTGCTCTTGAGTTGAGTTATTGCTTTAATGTTCCAGTTCGCCAGAGTTTACACCTATACCAATCCCCATCAGCGTCTTCAGCACATTTTCATGGATCATATTAATTTGACAAAGTCTGTTTCACTTACATTATACATATAATCTCATATAAATGAAGTTTCTAGTTTGAAGCATGCGATTTTTTATAGTTTATAGGTAGTCCCTAGTCCCTACTAAATTTGAGAGAGTCATCATCAAGTTTCACCAACATCAATCATCTATAATTGTAACTTTGATTCAATAAATTGCCTTAAATGATGCGTATCAGAAGAAAAATCATCATTAAAATCTCCATTTAAATTAAATGCAAATTTATGGTAGTTTTGGCCAACACAAGTAGTTTTTGTTTGAACTGAAGTACTTTGTACGAATGCCGACGATCGATTGCGATGTGCGAACTATCCGAAACAACTGGGATTTATTTGCGGGTTCGCAGTGTTTCTGACTGAATAGGGATTATTTTTGTAACACACCGAGTTGAAATGGATGTTGAAAAACCAATAAGTCTTCCTGCTTCTTTTTAAATACATATTCATATAAATGATGTAATTCCCCAAATTATTTTTGTTTTGCTAATGTATGAGTAACCCAATAGTTTTTTTCTTTCTAACTGCACTCGTCTTCTCGCAAGATAACTATTTTCCAAAGAAAATCATACATTAGGCTGATTATTAGATATATAATTACCCTGTATAAATATGCTTATTTGATACATAACACTACATGAGCAAGTTGGGACGATAAAAAAACTTCCAGTGGACGTGGATGGTACCCACATATGCGAAATCTGACGAAATCCGTTCAAAGGCCGTCCGGCTTAAAGTTCCATTTCGTTCCATTCCATCTTTTCGGATCTAGTGGACGAGCTTCAGTAAGTTGCAATGAAATTGGAGCATTAGCTCTTTTTCGCACGATTTCTGACCAAAGCAGTTCGGACGAAAATGCATCCAAAAGACACAGGCCCACGGACTACACACTATTATATTCATATGAACGGACCACAGTCTACACACTATTATAAAAGACGACCGCCCTAACAGAATCAGATTGCACTCGCGGGCGGCTGTGTACGTGCGAAACGGAACTGCGTGGCGTTTGGCCTTTTTTAATATCAGACATAACGACGCCGTTACAGTTTCAAGTCGGGCACAAAATAAATATTTTATTGAAGCAAAAAAATCGAATTTTTTGCTCAAGCTTCTGACGAATTCCACGCCACTGTTCGATTGGACCAAGAGCGAAAAGAGCATAAGTTTCGCAGTCAGCTGTGATCGTGACTGTCTTCCGCGGCCCCATCGTGACGTCACAGGTGAATGACTTCTTACGTCACGATGGTTCAATGGCAAATCGCGACCCAGATCTGGGTTGGCTCTGGCTGGGTTCGACCATGATCCAACCAAGGTTTCAAGCGACAAAATTTAATTTTTATATATGAGTTGCTTCGGTTTAACGTGAATGTGCGTGCATGCACGTGACTTTCAGCGACCATTTATTGGGACTTGTTTTTCTCTTTTCTTCTTCTATCATGTTTAGCGATTGTTGCGTGATATTGTATTTTATCAGCTGGAGTGGCAACTTGAGTTTCTGCTTGAATCAGTTCTCTTTTTTTCCTCGACCTCTTGGTCACTGTTTCGTTGCAATGTTTTATCCATTTTGGGTTTGTGTAAAAATCAGAAAGGTCTGCAAATGTAAATTGTTGACCACATGGTTGTTGTGACAAACGAAAGTTTGCAACCTTTTCGAATTAAGAAACGTTTCCCGATATAGAATTTTTGCAAAAGTTGAGATGCCGCCTACTGAATTAAGGCAGACTCATGCAATATAATATAGGCGTGAGATTTTTGTAAGGTACAGGAAGTCAACTGTATACATTTCAGCTGGCCGCTCTGGCTGGTACCCAATTCAGAAATTCATTAATCACTGCAGTTTGTTTGCTTGCTTTCTAACTGTTTTTGGTTTAAATGATGAAAACGATTTCTTGTTGCAAAAACTTTCAATTGAGTATTTTGCCTCAAATGGATCTTGTATTAAAACATGCATTTGAATTATGTGACAAGCATCGAAGTCATGTTTTTGTTTTTAAGGGGCTCACTTTAAGAGAAGGAGATTAGAATTGAAAAATTTTTGTTCGAAAATTTCCAGATGCTATTAACCGTTGAAAATCGAAGTCCAACTTTGTTAATAAGTATTACTTTGAAATGGTCCGTTTGGCTCCAGGAATTGAGGCAGGTAGTGGACGACCAAGAAGAGTTCGAGTTCCAGGCATGGAGAGGCAAGTATTGAAGATAATTGTAGCAGAACTTTCCAGAAGTACTCGGAGTGGATTACACAACAACTGACACTTTCCTCGGCAACTAAGCACCGGATAATTACCGAAGAAAGACACACTCCATGCCAAGTATGTAAGATACACAGGACACAAAGACGAATTGAGCACGAGTTAATTAACCGAGAAGTTTGAAGACGAGAAGGCGCTCAAAATAGAACCCCAGTAATGCTGCGAAGAGGGCACAATAAAGTGATTACACGGGCACAGGCGGACAAAATTTCGAACACTTCTTGTGATTTTACAACTTAATTGTAAATAGATCATTGATCTTTAACAACAGGTTTTTGTTGACATCCGTTATCATAATCTTTTCCATTGCTTTTCAACCTCACGTTCTGTGTGGCTACTTGAGCTTCTGTGTTTAAGGAGCAACAGTTATTTACGCAATGTAAATGAAACCTAATACCTTGAAATATTTCAGTTTTTGATCAGAATGATTTTGTGACTATTTCTTGTACTTCCCAAACACAGTGGTATAGCGAGCGTAGCTCGCACCCTGGGCACAATACCTTTTAATGTCTCTAAAATTGTGTATCCGATTGTTTGATTAAGACTATTAGTGTTCCTTTTCTTCCTTTTCATTTCCGAATTAACACTTACTATATTACACTGGCAGTAAATTTAAAATACATTTTCTAGAAATCAATTATAATAAAAATAAAAATTATCCAGCGATTTTTTATTCTGCGAACCATTTGGCGCCCCTTTGTGAGTAGCGCTCGGGCAGGATGCCTGAATATCCATGATGCCATATTCATGAATAGATAAAGGAGAGTGAGTGAATAACTTTTAACAAGTTCATAGAATGGACGGTTTCATTCCTTTGTTGTTTCATTTCCATGTTTTGCAGAGGTGCGAAATACCTGGCAGGACCAACAGATATCCTTGATAACTGTAAAACTAAATGACAAGGTTAAGACAATTTGTCCATGCATTGAATAGTTGACGTGGAACATGAAGATTGAATACGGTAGAAAGGTAGAAATTCGCACCTCGCCATGAAAGCGAACAAATGGCAAGTGGTTGTCTAGAGAAGAATTCAGAAACACAACGCTAATCAATTGGAGATAGTGTCGTAGGTGTAGCGTAGATGTAGCACCCTAAAGTGATGATGTTATTGTCGAATAAATGTGAAATCTTTGGTCATTTTTGGCGCCAATTTTAGCTGGTTGGTAACGTGTTAGAAGGATAAGCTGGCCCAACTTACTTCAAAGTTCAAGAACTTCCCAGACAATCAACAATCAAATTCCCTTTATATTTAAGTGTTTATTGGGCCACCAAAGCAACAGAAGCCATCGCATTAAATATTCCACATTGCTTAATCCAAACCTGATTTCGGTAAAATTGATTCAAATTAACAAATTAACAGCCGAACTGGTTAGAGTGAACAACCACTTAATTCAGAGAAAAATTATCGACTTCCTGGACTGCACTGCCAAAGATTCCGGTCTTAAGATAATGCACCCGATTTTTTATGCGCACGTTCAATTCGCCGGAGGTATTTGTACAGTTGGCGAACATGTCGGACGTGTTTTCCGCAGTACTGCCAAAAATTCGTTGTTACATTTTGTTGAAGAGATGCCGCTTCTCAAGCCTACCAACCAAGTGAGAGTCGATTACTTCTAATAGAGTACCCTTTAACTGGCTTACGGAAATGTCGGTATTAACATATTGTACGCTAAAATACCTTTGTCCCGCATGTCCTCTTTTAGGACCACCAATCAAGCTAAAAGGGTGCTTAGTCCCACACAGTAGGGTTTGGCAAACCTTTTCATATTAATAACCTTTATATTCTTGAATGTGTTCACAGTTTGGCAATTCGGTTATAATGGTCCTGGTTAAGATAGGATTATCTAAGCACCACAAGCAGAACAATAACTGAAATCCTCTTAATTTATTTTCATAGCTTTCTACTTAATATACCTTATTTCACGGCGGCACTCAAAGTGAACTGCTGAACTACTCACTACTCTTTATTGCTATTGCTATACATAAATATAATTTTATGAAGTGCAGAGGCCTTGGGAAATTTGGATTAAAGTCAATAATCTTGCGCTTCATTGAAGACCTGCTTTAAACGCGAATGCCAATCGAAAGGTGCCAAGTGCGACACTTAAAAATCAGATTTCGTTGAAGAAACGAAGTAGACAAAGCAATTAACGCCTCGTATCTAAACAAGCCTATAAGTAATTTTTAACTATGTTTTGCAATAAATCCCACATGGATCAACCATATGGGTGTTATACGACTTATTTGGACTCGCAGGAAGTCTGCATCCTACTTTTCTGTATTTACATTTTAGATTGCACATGCAAGTATCCATCATGTGTATTGTCAGTGATAATAATCAAGTGTCGATGTTTAATTGAGAAGTTCTGAGGCTATTAGAGCAAGGGATTGATTCTAAATTGGTAGTTTTATGATTTCGAGTTTTGCAGCATCGAGCAAGGGAAGATATAAGCCGATCTAACAAGAAGAGCTTGTGATTGCGATTCATCACGAAAACCTGATTGTTTAAATATCGTGAATTGATCGAGAGAAGGGGAAGGAAAACGCAGCATATCCGTGATAATGACGATTGAGGATTGTGAAAGCATCATCCCCCCAAAATTTTGAGTTCCTAAATGAGTTCGGAGAAATTCTTGATAGTCACCTCTAGTATGAGTTTGCATTGAGTTTTCGTTTGCATTATCGGTGCTGTTGTGTTAAGTTTCGAATTTAATAACTGGAAACTGAGAACTAAACACATACGAAAACAGGACGTAACATGTTGCGAAGCATACACATCACAATAACAATACT